TTGTGTTTAGCAGCTGGGAATGACTATTTTTAGCCAATAAAGGAAGGGGGGGGGGATAGCTCACTTTAGTTCCATTACTTACTTTTCCTGAATAAAAGTGACAATTTAACTATTTAATTGAGTTTTGTCATGAATTTTCGTAGATGCAAAAGGCAATGAACTGGAAAAAATTCTGTTGATGAATGAATTTTGTCATAATATTTTATAGATAGAAAAGGAAATGTGCTAGAAAAATAAATGTTAGGATGTGTGTAAGAGGTATAGGTCTCGTAACCTTAGTCACAGCTGAGCAAAGATCAAAAATCATGAGGAATATCCTTAAGGCCCAATTTGTCATCAGCACTATTCATCTTTAACTCGTTTATTTGTATAGTTTAATTATCAGGGAATGTAATACAATTAAAGAGTAGACATAGATCTCCAAATACACCTATAATATTTCCAAAAGGATTTCATAGTTTTGGGGCTTTTGAGAATATACATACTTGTCATGTAAATTTTCCAGAATCATTGTATAAAGAGGAAGTTGATGGCTTGTATTTATTTTCTTTTAAAGTTTCCTCTCTTCTCCCACTGTACTTGAGTTAGCTTCTGTTCTCCTGCTTTAGCGATGATTTGCTCTTTCCTATCTGCCTCTGAGTAACCGTATCTATCACACACCTGGGGACAAGCCGCTGAGCACCTGCCTCCCGTCCGGGCAGGACCGCTCGTGTCCTGGGGGACAACAGGGCTCTGCAGTCCTCACAGGGGGCCTGTGTTTGGTGTAGCCGGCAGTGCGTGAAGATGCTGGATATTAAATCACATATGCGAGGCACCGTATAGGGCGATCTGTTTGAAGAAGCACAGAGAATAATAAGGATCTTTCTTGTTTCCTCTTTTAAACTCTGAAGGCCACACGCCACATTTGCACAGCTCAGAGTAGAGCAGCCCAGGACACGAAACCCCACAGTCTTGGATGTGAAGCTCTGTGAGAGCACAGGAGAAGGTGGTTTCTCCACACCTGCTCCATACACCTGCCCCTGCAAGTCCAGAATCGGTACAGGCAGACAGGCCGTTAGGGGTGACGTTAGGGAGGGAACGGAAGTCTAGGGGCCTCTTACTGTCAGAGCAGACTTTAAAAGCTTTGAGGCCACCACTGAGTAAGAGCCAGTGTCACGATGACCACAGGCTTTAGAATGGGAAGCTCTCCCAGAGCCACCTCGCCCCACATTTCACTAGTGATGCTCGTAAAGGAGAGTGGCCTAGCGTGACCTGGGGTGCCGTCCTTGACCCCTCCTGGCTTTTCACTTTCCTTTTTCCGCCAATCACTTTGTCTTTTCGTCTCCATTTCCCCCACATTTACCTTCCCTTTTCCATTTCAATTTTCACTGCCTTTTAGCAGAACTTCAATATCCCTTGCTTGAGGTTCTTCCACGGATTCCTTTAATTTCTTCTTCTTTCTTTAATTTTCTCCTTCCATTTCTTACTCTGCTTAAATATATATATTCCACATATTCAGCCAGAATCATCAGGCTGAAATGCAAATCTGACGGTGGTGTTGATCAGCTTCATACTTTCACTGCCGAAGAGAAGCTGCAAACTCCTGTCCGTGTCCCTGCACTTTCCACTGTCAGCTGCGGATCTCTGTGATCCTGCGGGGGCGGCTTGGAACACTGTCACCTCCGCCTCTCATTCCCGCTCCAAATTCTCCCGACTCCCCTCAGCTGTCACGAGGGAAGAGACCTCGCGGATGAGATTAGTGAGACACCGGAGAACCCCGTCCCGCCTGCCCCGGGGACACAGCGACCTAACTCTGAATCAAATGCAGGCTCCGGACAGGCAGCTCTGCTGCTGCCTTGAACTTGGACTTCCAAGTCCCCTGAGCTGTGAGAAATGAGTCGGAGTTGTTCACAGGCCCCCGCTGCCGGACAACTAAAGCAGCCTCGATATTGGACAGATTAGATGCTCGTCGCCCGAATGCACGTGTCACTGTCAGAGGTAACATCACGTAGGCAAACGCTCCTCCTCTTACACTCCTGGCTCCTGACACTGCCTCCCAACCAGTCACCCGAGGGGCTTAAAAAGCTTGGATTTCTAGGCTCAGCTGATATCCTAGAAAATCAGAATCTTTTCTCTACATTTAATGTTTCTCACTTGATCCTTGTGAGTCAGCCAAGCTGCTCTCAGGGTGGATTTGTAAATCTGCAAAACGTTTTCCCTCAATGTGCCTTTAAGAATCACCTTAAAGATGGCAAAGCCATGTGTGATAGATTTGAGAAAGATTTGTATTCCATGGTTAAATTTGTTTCAGAAATGTTAAAGGATGAACTCCCAACTCTCCAGAAGCTGTACACCGTAACAATTCATCCAACAAAACAGATTTCATTTCTCCTATTGGCTTTCTTTGTGCATGGCAAGCTTTGTGCATGAGATTTCTTAACATCCCTGTCCTTTCCGCACTCATACTTAGGAAAACAGCGCTTCTTCCCCAGTGAAATGCACAGTCCAGCGGGTGTTAGGACTGGCCAAGGCCTCCGGGCCTGTGTCCCCGCGCCCGTCCGCTACCTGTCCGCCTTGCGGGACCTGCGGATCCCCGGGCCAGGGCCCGGGCTGGCCTGCTCCTCCAGCTCCTCGAGCCCAGCAGTTCTGCGGGCTGCTGGGCCTGGAGCGGAGCTGGCGTGGGTGGCTCCGGCCGACTCCACGGAGGACCTGGTGCTGGGCAGCACGGAGTGGGCGTTTGTGGAAACTGCGGTCTGTTTTCCTGCACCCAGCTGGAGTTTCCGGATGGCAGTCCTGGAACAGCCTTCGCATTTTGCCTTGGATTTAACGGGATTTCAGGTCTGTGTTAAAAATTGCCCTTGCTTTTGAACAAATTATTTTGAAAGACAAGTTTATCTCTAGCTTTGCTTTACCATTATATACATTTTAAGCAAGTGTTTATTACTTTTAATTTTGATTATTCAATTTGGTTGAACTCCAGGGGCCTCCTCGTACAGGTTCATACGATTCTCACCCTAACTGTGGGGGAAAACAAATATCATAGTTTTCATTAGTGTTAACATTTATATGATTTTAGTTACACTCTAAGTAAAAAACACAAAATACATGTTTTTTTGAAAATGTTTTCTGAGGTTTTTAATTTTCAACTCACTTAGACTGGTTAGAATATACTAATTTAACATTTACATCGAGAGAGAGAGAGAGAGAATATGAATTGCTGTAGTTCAGGCTGGCCTCAACCTCATTAGGCAGCCCAGACTGGCCTTGAAGTCGTGGAGATTCTCCTGGTTCAGCCTCCTAAGTGTTGGGGTCACAGGAGTGGATCACTATGCCTGGACACTGTTGTGTTTCTGCTAGCTAGTTGTGTGCATTCCATTTGCAGGTCCTCCCTGTTCTCAGGTACCTACAGTCTAATGGAAAACAAAGCGAATGTTTTGGGATTGAGAGCATCAACACACGCTTTCGGAGAGGGTCTGGGGTCTTTGCGGATTTCTGTTCTGAAAGGACATCTTTGTTCTGTGCTGTCCCGGACTTAAGTTGGCTGACTACTCTGAGCACAGGAGAGCGATCTCAGGCAGAGGTGCACAGTTTCCATTTGGTAACTGCTCCCTGTATGGCACTGAGTGTGTAAATTGGCACAGATTCAGCAATTTTTATTGAAGTGTTGGTGAAGTGAGTTCACTTTGGTTATTTAATAAAAATACAATTTCCCATTTTTTTACTTTACCAAATATGTATCTCCAAGAAAATCTTGCATGCTCACATAAGATATTAAGTTTCAAGGTTAAAACATTTAAATGTACATTAGTTAGGGTTACAAATACGTGGAGGCCTATGACTTTCTCTAGAGTAGTGCTTAGGGCTGGCAATGTGGCCTGGTGGCAGAACACTTGCTTAGCCTGCTCTGGACTCTGGGTTCAAATTCCCAGCAGTGCCAAAAACAAAGCAACAGGAGAAAAGGTAGTGCTTGGGTCATACGAGGTTGTGTCTTCTGATGTAGTGATAGTAATACTACGTGTTGTGCTAAAATATTTTCTCAATGCTGAAGGCTAGTGAGAATTTTATGTTGTGTGTTCAATATGCATATTTAAAATTATATGTTAAGGTTTTATTTTAAAAACCTTGACACAGGTGGTTTTAAATATCACACGTGAAGACGCAGAGTACCGTCTTAGGTGGCTGTTCTGAGAATTCTTTCAGGCGGAGTCAGTGCCCTCGCAATGCCAGCTGTCTCATAATCTCGGCCCCGGTCCAGCTGGAGCTGTTCTTAGATGGCCTCCTGCGTGGTGACAAACAGTTTCCTCTGTGCAAACCAGGAAGTGACTCCTTCGCCCACGGTGACAATTACGAGATACCTGATGTGAATCCAGGAAGTATGGCATGCTGGATATGGCAGGGACACAGGTCGAAGGCCCGGCAAGCTCAGGTGGTCTGGGCTGAGTACATGTGTGAGCTTCGACTTGAATTGCAACCCCATCTCTGTAGTCAGACTGGGTTTCAACTGCAAGTCTGTCATGGACCAGCACTCTATCCTCAGTCAAGTTTCCAAATTCTGTTTTCCTTGGCTAGAGAGTGGGACTAAGGCACTTACTTCATGGTGGAGATTACAGGAGAAAATACATGAAGTGCTTAGCATAATTAAATTTATACCCCCAAACAGTGCCTTGATTATATATACTGTATATTGTAATTGTGATTATTAGCCATGAGGGATTTTTTTATCAATCAAGTTTATTTGCCTTTTCAAATATGTTATGATTTTAAGAGTCCTTTACTTTTTCATGGGCAGAAACCTATATTTTGAAAATGTGTGGTTATATGATTCTGATGTATACTGCTTTTGATCTCTCTTCGTATACCTTAAACATTGTTTTATTAGTGACTGTGTGCGGTATGGAATACTGATGTCCATTTTGGGAAGTTGGTACCTGCATAGAACATGTGGATCATCTGCAATCCCTCACCCCTTCCCCATCTCCAAGATTCTTCCCTGTTCCATTTCCCTCTTTCCATAAAAACTATTGTTCACTATCAGAAAGAACAATGATCAAATTCAACAATTTTTCTGCTTTTCAGACTTCAGTTTGAAGTAAGTTAAATTCTGTGGGGCTCAGTTTCTTTACCAGTGAGTCCAAGATAGAATAGATGGCCTCTGCAGGTTTCTTCAAGCTTCGTCATTCTGTAAATACAAATGGAGAACACAGATTCTTGTCAGAAATGTTTCTACCTGAAAAAGGTTTCTGTGTATTTTCTTTATATAGACTATTGTCTTTATATAATTAGAGTGAATACTCCTTTCGCCCTCTAAAATTTCTCAGTTTGTGTAAAATATCATGTGCTCTTCCTGTTTAATTGTTTATATAGGTGAAGAGCCACAGCCATCTGGAAAATTGTGGATAGGGAGATCCCAAAACAGATTACTTGTCTTTCTTGTTCTAAAATTGTAGAATAGTTGGAAATGCTGGACAATTGCTCAACACTTTCTTCATTTTCTGGCTGTGGTTTGCTAGAAAGAGAGCGTTAAATTGATGGCTTGGTGATGGCAAGATCTATTAACTTGATGAAATTGTGTGCGAAAGTGTGTGTGTGTGTGTGTGTGTGTGTGTGTGTGTTGGGGAGTGTCTCCATATTTTCTATCACACCCTCGAAAGTGGCAGAGCACGCCAAAGACCAAGGACCGCTGCTCCATTTGTGTCCCCCTCACAGGTTCTTGGACCTTCTTGTCCCGTTTTGCTCTTCATTACCGAGTCTATAAGAGAAAGGAAGAAATTAATTTCAGCAGTGCTCTTACAATTAACATACTTCTACTAACTTAAAGGTCTTCAGTGAAAATTATTTAATTAAAGCATATGAAATGTTGACAAAATCCCTTGGAGGGGGAGGCACCTATTTCTAAGGTGGGAAAAGGACAACCCTAAACAGTGGGGCCCTTTTAAGCCAGGATAACAGATTTTTCACCACTTTTTGACCTGAAGAAATGAGTGTTTTCTATGTTTTAACTGACTGATCTCACAAATGGATTTAATTCAATGAATTATAGTGAGACTCTGGTTTATGAAATCATCATACAAGAGGCCGTTGACGGAATATTCTTTAAATTTTAGATGAATTTGGAGGGTGGAGAGTCAGATTTTTAGATCACTAATAAAACACACAACAGAGTCAGTTAAGCATTTGGCACAGAGTGAGACCATCATGGAAAAGCAAGACGATCCTGGTGAGCAGCCATGAAGATCAAAGTCTCCCTTTGTGGGGAGCAATAAAAGACCTGGTCTTGATTTGCTGTGATTCTTTCTCACTGGTTCTCTTCCCTTCCTGATCATAGTTAAATTATTTCTTTCTTCTTAGTATTCCTGCATTTTTTTCAAGTGGGAAGGGAGAAAAGATTTCTCCAAATGACTAACAGAAGAACATGTGCTCTCAGAGTGCAAAGCATTCAGTCCCCAGATAAAGAGTTGAGAGAGCTACTCCACTCTAAACACAGATGGGACAGCTCCTGCTGTGTCTGTCCAGAGCACACTGACCAGCTGAAGGCGGTTTGCTTTATCCTCTGTAGTTTCCTTAAAGAAAAGTGCCATGAGTTTTAAAAATGATAACTATTAGGAAAAAAGACAGCACAATTGCTCAATTGTAAGTAATTGCCTAACTAGGAAACAATCCCAGGAGAGGGCTGACAGAAGTAGCTTTAGTTTTTTTAGCTGCCTGTATTTTAACTTTACACAGAGAAAAGTAAAATCTATGTAATCAAAGCATGTCCAAGTATGTACAGACTTCAAAGGCCTAACTTGGTAAGTGGGTGAAGAATTCTTTCAAGCAATGTATGAAAATTCAAATATAATAGTCATTAATTATATTTTATTATATTATATATTTTAATCTAGTGATATGGAAACAGGTTTTCTCAAAAGACAAAGAAAGGTACACAATGAATATAACTCTACTCAAACTTAATAAGTATTTTTTCCCAGAATAATTCTTATTACTATTTATTGAAATGTCTTTTAAAGCTAACTTTCTGGGGTAAATGACAGGAGTATGCAGGTACTGAGGGTCATCTATCAGCTTTCCTACCTCACCGTGAGGAGCTGGAAACTGCAGGAGAGGTGAGGTGGTTCTCACGTCTTCTTCTCCACTGGTCATTTTGCACCATAGCTTTTCTACTTATCTCACTTTTTAAAAAATTATGACAGCAAATAATTAAGCTTTTTTTGTATAAGAAATGTCAGGTGGGCATGCTGGTGGACACCAATGAGAACTTGGGAGGCTGAGGCAATAAGATCATGAGTTCAAGACCAGCCTGTATGGGAGGCTCTGGCTAAAAAAAAAAAAAAAGAAAGGAACGTGTCAGACTTGAGGTCAGAGATGATTAATTATATTCAAGTTTTCTGTATTCCCAGATTGTTCCAAGAAAAGAAAGTTTTTTTTTTCAATACAAGTTTGCTAGATATATTCTATGCTTAGAAAGTTAAAAAGAAAGTGGAATATTCAAGACTTATTTGTCAAATTAGACAACTGTATTCAGCTATAATTCACGTACCATAAAACACCAGTTTGAAGTGTACGGTGTATGGGGTTTTAGTGCGTGCACTGTATTGTGCACACATCTTTGTGTCTGTCTCCGGAACAATTTCATGTTTTCCTTCCCATAAACTCCTTCATTTCTCATTCCCATTCTTCCTTTCCTGTAGTTCTGGGAACCACTACTCAGCTCTCTATCGGGATTTGTTTATTCTAAACATTCACTATTACTGGGGTCGTACAGTGTGCAGTGCCTTGTGAGTGACTTCTTTCACTTAGAATAATCTCAACACGGATCGTGTTGTAGCATGTATCAGCACTCCGTTGCTTTTGGTGGTCTTAAAGCTTACTCATCGGTGTCCTTGGGGCTTGGATTCCCAGATCCACAGAACCTCAAATTCTGTACAGTAAATGCCATAGTATTTGCATGTGTATAACTAAGTGCCTCCTCCTGCATACCTTAAAGCATCTAGATTACTTATAATACCTACAACAATGTACGTGGTATCTACACAGTGTTTACACGAAACAACAGTGTCAGGTTGCAGTCCACATTCATCCTGAGGCAGTGATGACAAGAAAGGCTGTGTGTGTTCAGCACAGATGCAGTTTTTTCCCAAATGTCTTTGATCTGCAGTTACTTGAGCCTGTGGGTGAGGAACCCGTGGGCATGGAATGCTGGTGGCATTCAAGTGTATGGATAAGTGACAGTTTGCCTAGTTATCCTCAGGTTAATGGACTTTCCAGTTATTTCTACTTTTTGGCTTTTGTGAATAATACTGCTATGAACACTCATATACAAGTTGTTGTGTGAAGATGCATTTTTAAATCTCTTGTCGATACCTATGAGTGAAATTACTGGATCACATGGTAACTCTGTATTAACATTTTAGAAGCTACCAGACCATTTTCCACAGTGACTGTATCACTTTGTATTTCCACCAGAAATGCAAGGGGGTTCCCACTCCTCATCTTCTGCTATACTTGGTATCCTTTGATAATATAATAGCCATCTTAGTGGCTATGAAGACATAGATCACTGCAGATTTGATACACGTTTCTATAATGACTGATGGCATTGGACCTCCTCGCATGTGCTGATTGATCATTTATATATTTTATTTAGAAAAATATCTATTCAAGTCCTTTGCTTGTTTTGAAAATTGGATTTTCATATGGCTCATTTGTAAATTTTCTTATATACCCTGGATATGTGTCCCTCAAGCATGTAAATATGTTTGATGATTGTGTAGGCTGTGTTTTCACATTCTTGATGATAAGCTCTGAGATACAAAGGTTTTGAATTTTGATGAAGTCCAATGTATTGAGTTTTTTTAAATTTTGAACTTGTTCTTTTAAAATTATATCTCAGAAACCATTTCCTAACCTAAAATCATAAAGATTCTCTCCTATCTTTTCTTCTAAGAGTTCTATAGTTTTAGTTTTTACAGGTAGATCTACTGCCTATTTAGAGTTAGTTTTGTATATGGTGATAGATAGGAGTCCGGATTCCTTTTTGCATATGGTTATTCAGTTGCCTTGGTATTATTTTTTGAACAGATATTTTTTTCTCCCATGAACGATCTTGGCATCTTACAGTAAAAACCAGTTCATGGAGCAGGGAGGAATAAAAAGATTTAAGAAGTGTTTTGCACATGTTCTAATTTCCCACAGTGGAAGTATTCATTATATACTACAAACATGTACGAATAGCAATACAAATGAGAAAAAAACAACAAATGAATTAACCATAAAGCTAATGACATACTTTTGGACTTAATTTTCTTCTACCTATCTATATTTCTATCTTTATATCAGTACCACAGGGTCTTGATTACCGAAGCTTTGTAGTAATTTTTCAAATCAGAAAGTGTGAGTCCTTATACTTTAGCTTGAGGTTGTTGCGTATATTCTGAACCCTTCACATTTGCACATGAACGTTAGGATCAGCTTTTCAATTTCTGCAAAATTCTATTTTAAAAAGTTAGCTTGGAATTCTCAGTATTGACTGAGGAATAGTTTATAATAATACTATGAAGAAAGAAAAGGAGGAGGAGAGTGAGAGAAAGAGGAAGAGGAAGAAAAGGGAAGTGGAAGAGGAAGAAGAGGCCGCAGCAGCAGCATAGCACAGTAAGGTAGTGCACACCTGTAATCCCAGGATTCAGAAGGCTGAGGCAGGAGGATGGCCTCCAGTTTGAGGCCAGCCTGGGCTACACAGTGAGTTCAAGGCCATCCTGGACTACATAGCAAGACCCTGTCTTGAAAACCTCAAAATAATAATAACAAATAATAATACCTAGGCACCAGAGACTAAAAAGATGAAACTCAGTCCTTAATCTTAAAAGGATCAATGATCCAGCAATTAGGCAAATATGTCGACTCAGTTTACTGCCTCTCAACTTTGAATTCGCTCTTCAGTATATGTTGAGTGATGGCAGAGTTCTCTGGAGCTCGTCCTTACAGCCAACCTCACGTCAAGCTCCAGGAGCGACCGCTGGAAGGGAGGCTGCTGGGCTGCTGCGGGGTGAGGCCGACCACACCTGGCTGCCTGGCTCCTGCTGTGTCTCGACCCCTGTGTAGCTGCAGAGCTGCCCGGTGCTACCCGCTCTCTCTGCGCCCGCCTGTGCCTCCCCGTGCCCCGGGTCCTCGCAGCTGGTCGCTGGTCAGCCAGGTTGTGCCTGTGCCCTGCAGGCTGCTCCCTTCTCCCGGTGACTCCGGACCAACCCTGGGCGCTCCAACCCGCGAACGTTTCTCCTTCTTTATCCCCTTCTCCACTGAGGTCCGACCTCACCTTGGGGAGGGAGCCCCTCAGCTTCGCTCTTCCTTGGCTACTCCCCCTCGGCCCTGGTTTTCCTACACTTGGTTTAAAGCAGGACTTAAAGAATAAAAACACGTTTTTCCCAGCCCCAGGCAGCGCCCCCCTCCATGTGACGCATTGCTCTGCTGCAGACAAAACGGGCGACTGTGTCCTGTGAACAGTTTACGTCATTTGGTTCTCACCAGATTCACAAGGCTCTGTCTCTGTCCAGGGTAAATTATTAATCACTTTCAGTTGCTTTGTCTTGCTTCTGTCACCTTGCTCCCCCCACCCCAGTTTCTTGTCACCAGAGAGAGCACCCTCTTCCTTAGGCCAAATGTATAAGCCTGGAGCCTTTCCTTTGTTCTAAGCTCATCCTCTGGAGTGAGTCCTCTGAGTTGGCGCTCACCCGAGACCCTAGAGTAAAACCCTCCTGCTTCCCAGCGGTCTCTCCAGTCTCTTAAGTCCTGCAACAGGATCCGTGTTTTTGTCAGAATTTAAAAAAATCTTTAAACTCCTTTTGTTTAACCTGCCGTGTGATTGGACCTACACTAAGAAAACAAGTAGCAGTTATGAACGAGAATATAGTAAGTAGTTTCCCTTCCCCTCTTCCTTCTCCCTCTTCCTTCTTCTCTCTTTCTTTCTGCATTATTGGGGGTTGAACCGAGGTCTTCACATTGAGCTGCATCCCCAGTCCTTTTTTGTTTTGAGACAGAGTCTGTGAAGCCACCAAGTTGCCCACCCTGGGCTCAAACTTGTGATCCTCCTGCCTCAGCCTCCCATAGCACTGAGATAACAGCCACCACACCAGCCCAGGAAGCAGCATTTTAAGAGATGAAAGTGAGATGAAGGTTTGGAGCCCAGGGTCTGTGGGCAGGAGCAGGACAGACTTAACAAGGAGTGCATTTTGACACAACCTTTAAACTCGGCCCTGGGAGCTTCTATTGTAAGACCCAAGTTTTCTGGTCAAGGTGGTCAGAAAGGGTTCTGATCTTTACTCAGAATATACAGATCAGGTTTTCTGGGCAAAGAGCTGTAAAAATTTCATCCTGTATGACAGTCTCCTCCCTGTGTTTCTTTTCCTCTTTTTCTGACCCAAGGCTGAATCCATCTTCTTCCCGATAGTTGCTTAAGATAGTTAGAAAATCATATGTTTAATCTCATGTTTTATTTAATCATATGCTTTGTTAAATATAACAATTGATTAATCAAATGTTCCTTGGAAAAAGGAACCCGACCCTTTGAATCTCCCCTCCCTTATTTCCAGTAAGTACCCCAATAATATCCAACAGTAATCAAAAGATAAAAATAGCATCAGTAAAGAGGGAAAGCCTCCCCAACCCTATATAATCCTGCTTCAAAAATGGGTCTGGACTCTTGTTCTCTGATCCACTCAGTCAGTGAAGTACGAGGGTCCAGGCTCGAGCTTGGAATAAACTCCTCATGTAATTACATCGGACTCGACTCCTTGGTGGTCTTTGGGGACTTTGCAACTTGGGCACAACAGTATTTTTAAGACAGTTGCTTCAGCTCTGACTTCAAGGGTAAAGATATTTGCAAATTGAACTGTACTATTTGTCCAAACCAAGCGCACTGCTCCTGACCGCAGACTCCTGGATTTGCTCCTGGGCTGTGGGAGTTGCCAAGGAATGAGACAGCAGGAGAAATAACTGAGCCTGTGCAGGTTCCTGAGCCCCAACGGGAGATGTGTAAATCGCATCTTCTCCTTGGAATTTCCTAACCAAATGTTTAAAGGAAAGGGTCTGATGGTTCGAAATGAACACCCACAGCCATATGTGCCAATTAATTTCCT